GCACAAAAGCAGCTGAAATGCCATGTTCATAGTTTTAAGTATATGAGGAATTTATGAGCTGCTCATCATCACATTCCATTCTGAATTTATGCTCGAAAAAAAATTATTCAATTCCTCAACAATGAAAATGCACTAAAGAAAAATTTTACACTCTGAAAGCATTTGCGATGTAATGTTAAATGTCTCAGAATTCAGTTGAAAGCACTCGACATTTGATATTCAATCACTATTTGAGTGATTGGAAAATAATTCATTGCTTTCAGGATTCGATAGATAAGACCATAGTCGCAGTAATGAATGGTGACATCATCGATGAATGTGATGATTCGACTGGAATAAGTGTCCCGAACGATAATACGCACTTTGCGGAAACACAGCAAACGTTCGTTATGCATGCATTATAATCATCAGTATAATCCGGTAGTTCTCAATTGAATTCCATCAATATACATACAATCCATCAATTCCTTCATTCAACTCTCTCACATGAACAAACAATGGTGATACTTTGAAGCTGCTCACAAGGGTATCATTAAAGATCAATCCTTACAACGGGATAATTACATCATAAAAAGATTCTTACTTTCAGGCAAAACAATGAGCTACAAGATGCATTGAATGGTATCCTTGATAATTTGATTGGTGAGCAAAATCGATGGACTATTTCATTATATCTGCCGATGAGGCAATGTGGTCATCGAAGCAGACAATCGACCAGCAGTCTGAATGAAACCGAAACGAGAACAGTTGATTCTTCTGACGATCGACATCATCTACTTGGGAAGCGTCGCAAAATTTCGTTGGGCTCGAGCGATAAAGGAAATGAGCAGTTGTATCCAGTCGCAAAACGGAGTCACTCAAAACCCGAGAAACATGTCAAGTTTGATGATCCAGTTCCACACTTTATAATATCACCGATAACATCGCCATTCTGCAAGTCGTCGAATCAGTCGCGTTTTCAAGCATCGTTGGAAGACGAGATCTCATCTTATGATCAGTCATTCGCTGAGCAAATTCCATCTGAATCCGAGATTGAAACAGCGACCACATCAACGAGTGAGTGCATAAGTTCTCTGTCTACAGACGAATTGAGGTTTGTTGATGAGTTACAGAGGGAATGCTTCAGTGATGCTATTCTCGACGTACAAAGGTTGCTCACCTCCGCAGCTCAGTTGCATTCATCCAGCATTGAAAATCACGATGAATGTGCAATGGATAATGCGAATCAGAAAATGCAACAAGCTGATCAAATGACTGAAGAGGAAATACGTAACGATCTAAAGCATGATGCAGTTGATAATGCTCAGGAGTGCTATCAAGATATCCCGGCAGAACACTCGTATTTCTATGAATCGTACAGCCCTTGCAGTGAAGCTGGCACGAAGCTTGACAGCGGATTGGACGCTAACGGAATTGAAATATCTTATCAATCGGAACTTGAGAACAATGGGGCGGTACGTGAACTGAATGGGAATATTGGAGAAGAACAGAAAAAAGGAGCGTCAAGTGTATCGAACAGAGCAGATGATGAATTGCAGAATGCTTCGGAAAGTGAACAGAGACATTCGATCGTATCCGCCGAAAAATTGATCTCGGATTCGGTGAAGAAGCGGGATGGAACATTGGAAGAGTTGAAAGTTCATGAGAATTCCGTTTCAAATTTGCGCTCATCAAACGGAATGCAAACTGAGCAACAGAATGGATCAAATGTGGAAGCGAATCATTCAAAACAATCATGTGACTCTCACGAGAACGTTAAGCGGAAATCCGAAATGGAGCAAACGAATTCCTGCTTGGACGCAGTCAATAAAGGTGCAATGAAAGTGTATGACGACAACTCAAGAGAATCTGAAGAAGATTCGACGATTTTTTTAATATGTCACACAGACGAAGTGCACCATCCGCATGGTGTTTATGCCGAACAGTCTCACAACAATGAGCCCCTCAGGCCGTCTTTAACATTCTACGAAACAAAGTTCACCACTTCAGTTAATGACACGACTTCTCAAGCGATTCTCATTTCGCCTCGTCAGCTTAACTCCGCTGACACCGGCAGCCAACAAAGTAGTGCGCAGATATCTTTGCCCCTCGTAATGAAAAGTTCCGATGTTAACCATCAAGTCACTAATGAACCACCGATTCAAGGTTTGGCTGAGATCAGTTCTCAGCGAACGTCATTACTCTCCTCTGTTTCAGATACTTCTTACAGAACATCTGAAATTTCATCCCTCACTGACGCTCTATCATCAACGTCTAGCGATCGTGAGGCATTCGTCGTACCACAACCAGATGATAATAATAATAATGTGAATGTTAATAAACAAACCACGCCATATTTAAGTGTTAAAGAACGTATCGCAATAAGAGAGGAACAAATCCAGCAATCAATGAAGCCAAAACCGTTGATTCTAAACAGCAGTGCACGAATCCGTCATCGAACATTCTCATTGGATTCCAGTCTTATAAACGACACTCAACGACCACAAACTTCAGAAAGCATTTCAGAACCTTCGAAGTCGACCGATGAACTGGAATGCGGTCGTCTCAGCGTGCATGAAATGATTTTACTGCATGAACGTCAACTACACGCAATCGAAGATCAGTCGAAACAAAGAGCNCCACATCGAAGCAATACCCAATGAACAATGATTTCACTCAACATGCGGCATCAGAACCGATATTATATGATGCACAAAATTCAGTGTCATCGATGCATCATAGTCTAGAAGCAATGAACGACGATCATACAAAAGTCAGTTCAGAGGAAAATCTGAAGTTGAGCGAACCTGAGCAGCCAACTGAGATGATATTGGAGGATCATTCAACAGCTTCGAACAATGAAAGTGAGTTCGAACATGTGAGCGTTCAGCAACTTGTACGAGAGCATGAACGAAGATTGAAATGCATCGAAGAAACGGCCACTGTTCGAAGTCAGCCATTGAAAAAGCATCAAGCGGACACATCCAAGACACCACTCATAAGCAGAGTTGAACAGGAGCAGTCCAGATCTGACGGCGTAACTAACATGAATGACGGTGTATGTGCTGCTGGAGAGGAAGAGTTGAAGCCTGAACGTAATGATGATATCGAATATGAAGCGGAATCGAGCGAAATCGAACATAACCAAAATGGCACTTCGTATCAACCAGAGAGCGGCGACCAACAAAGTGAAACGTCACCTCGATTTCCGGTCAAATATTTAATTGAACTAAAAGAAAAACAAATTCGTGAAATGATGATGCTTGACGAGTGTAAATACAGGCAAATACATCGTTCAAAATCACATTCCGAACAATCCAGCGGAACTTCTTATTCTAGTGAGGTTGGTGGTTCAATATTACTCTTTTTGAACTAAGCCAACATTTGCTTTAAGATTTGATCGTTTTGATCATAGTATGAATGATATGGTTATGTTATTGTTTGCTTCTGATTATTTAAAAAANAAAAAAGTTTGCGAGATGCATCAAGTCGAAATTCTTGAATGTTGGATTTGCTTGGTGGACAGGAAAAATTGATGAATGGCTTCAACTTTTTAATGGTGTCATTGTTTTAATGGTGTCATGGGTGCATCTTAGTTTAGAAGCACTCTAGGAACATTTGCTTCGCTCTTCTCAGAACAAGTTTCATTTTTCAGCAGATCAAACATTAGTGCATCACAACGGAACATTTCGGAAGATCAAGCATTATGATATTTTTCGTCAGTCGGTTGTTCTCATCGATATTCCACTTTTTCCACTTCATCAAGAACTCATTGTCTAAGACAAAAGAATGCTTCAAATAGCTCAAAATTTTGGTTTACGATAGGTAGAGCACTCGAAAGTGTGATCAAGCTCAAAATTATGATGTAGTATTGATTGAAGTACATCACTTCTGCAACATTTCGTTATCAATTATCAAATTGATAATGAAATGTTGCAGAAGTGATGTACTTCAATAGCTGTTTTGTGTACTATTAAGTTCAATGTTGGTAGCGACCGAAGTACTTGATCATATTAGTAACTCAAAAATCGATCAACTGAAAAACTAACATTGCTCACGTATTAAGCCTTTCTAAGTACTGCGTTTTATAACGTTCTCTGATCCGTAATCGTTTTGTATCATTATTGAACGCTTTTGATAAAGTTGAATTCTTTCGTGGTCATTGATCATTCTATGTAAAACCTCTAAAAAATATTCAAACCAAGTGTTGCTTTACAACATATTTGAATAATGGATACTCACCATATGACATCTTCAAACTAATTTGTCAAATAAACCTCACGAAGGTTTGCCATCTAAATGGAGCACATTATTATTTAATTAGTCCAATGATTCACTAATGCCTTTCCACTGACAAACGACATAGGCCAAATTGCAGAACGATTGATGGGTAGTGAGCAATAAGCTGGAACGGAACGCTTGAATGAGTTTCTTCGCTATTGTCAATGTGAATCCTAATATTTTCATTGCTTTTGTAATGCAACTGAAAATGAGAGTGTTTTCTGGCGAATGTAAACTGTTCAGAGTTGAGTTAGCTTTTTTTGATTGCTTGAAAATGTGATTGTTGCTGCATGTGAAGAGCACATTATTCATATTCATTCATGTGTTTAGTGTACCGAATAATTTGCTCTCATCTTCGAGAGTACTCTGCCAAATAGTTTGTATTCATTATTCTTGCATCATAGTGTTTTAATGTGCTTGACTTTATGTGCTTGTTCGCCCGTCTTACGATTCAGCATAATCAAAAACGTATTTGGTGCTGTTTTGGATTGTGTAAAAACCACTTGATTGCTTGGTATGAATAATCGTTTTTTGACATTCACTTTAACATTCACTGTGGAACTCAAATGCAGTTGTGGCTAAGCAAGCGCAGATTAACGATTGGACGTAGACAAAATAAACTTCCGGAAAGGAAATTATATCTCACTTTGAGGAAGTCATTTATCGTATAGAAAACTACCAGTGCTTAATTCCTCTACGTGTTTCCTTTCTGACCTTTCAAAATTGTTAATTTGTTCCATACGTTATGCTATCAGCTTTCTGCAGGCAGACGGACGCTCCGTCGGTTTGCCTGGCCGGCAAACAGAAGCAGTTCTTTTCAATCTAATCTTCTTCGTGCTTGTCAAATTTCACTGGCATTTCATATTGTGTTTTACGTTCGAATATGATATTACAGTCAGCAAGGAACAACGATATTATAACCAATTTTTCATCCGTGTGGGATATGCATTGTCTGTTTATGATCCATCAAATACACCGCATTTGGAAGTGGAACGAACGCTCTTTTATTAATTGTCAGATATGAAGGAGGATGTTGAAAAAAGAAATAAATCCTCGTAGACATTGGCTCTTTCAATCTGCTTGCATTCATTTCGTTAAATGAATCTCCACATCAAACTTGCTATTCCATCGAAGTCCATCCACATCAGTTTCATGCTAGGTCAGTATTGATATTCATCCACAAACTAGTAATTCCAAATGGGTCTCTTCTAAGACGGACAACGTAATTGTTAAATAAGGAAGAATGAAGTCTCGTTTCTTGGATGCATTATTTCGTTCCAGCTTTTTAAACCATACAAGTAAGGTTAGCTGTAATGGTAATTGCAAAAGGAGTGAATCGCATTATGCAATTGTGCTGCTCTATCATCGGTTGCCAATGTGATGACTGCTTTTAGCATAATTGTTCATAGAGCTATCGCTATTGAACATCCGTTGATCGTTCCCGGTTTCATTTATTTGAACGGTTCAAATTTTGTCTTGCTTGTTCACAACGCAAAATCAGTTTCTGGCCAAAGTGTATTCAGTTATCGCGAGAAGACTAATCCGCGTGAGAATATTTAACACCTATGACTACATGTTCTTGTGCACATAATTATCGTCTAATGCTATCCATCCATCCATACGCTTTTTAAGCATACAAATGAAAAAAGTCACAAAATTAGCAAACAACTACTTTAACAACTGCTTTAATAACTGCTTTAACAACATTCATGATATCATATTAAACAACTGCTTTAATATGATATCATGAATTGCTCTCATTTCTATCGGGAAGAAGTCGTAAATGATCTGAGTCCTAATCACTAACAATT